AGAACGATCGTTAAATGGAAATTGTACATCTACTTTATGCAAAATTTGTGATGATTTATGCTAGTGGTCGCAAAAGGTAGGTTTAAAAAGCAACAACTATTCATGTACCTGAGTACTTCAAGTCCGGTGCAAAAATGCATGATTGCACGGACCCGCGCGGTGCGTTCCAGCCTGGATTGCTACATGTTTCAATTTACTGAAAAATTCCAGGAATAGCCTACGCATCATTGGCTCATGTGCCGGCCGTTGTTGGATTATATACATCATTTTTTCCCCCACTTCTGTATATGGTTTTTGGTACCGCACGACATAATTCACTTGGTGAACTGTTTTTCTTTGCAAGTTTTTGTCTCCTTCTCTCCCTTTGCCTCCCTCTCTTTTCTTCATCTGTTCTAAAAATATATATGATCAGTTGGTAGTTAATTTAACTGTAAATTTATAATTGACAGGTTCATTTGCTGTGGTAAGTTTGATGGCTGGTAAGGTGGCAGAGCGAGAATTGGCGAACTGGAATGAGGCAAATTCCATAGCTAACAATGTGTCAGATAGCGATACGTTTAATGAAGCATCGCTGACCACCGTTCAGGTCACCACCACACTTGCCTTTACAATCGGACTTGTCCATGTTAGTTTTGCACGTCAATTCCTTTTTCAAAGCGATTTTTCGCTTTGTAATATAATCTTCACTTTTAATGCAATATTTGTAATTGTTGTATTTGGTATAAAAGTGCAAATATAACTAAAAAAAAACGAACGTCATAATTGCCAGCAAAAGCAGAGTGATCATTAGGCCACGCAGCGAACGAAACAACTGAAAAAGTTACCAACTGTATAGTTATTAGCTGATTCAAATGTTCAAACAATATAGTTATGCCGTTTTCTTTATTATATCATATTTTTATAATCTACATTTTAAATGTAATTTGTATTTCAGTATGATATGTGTAATGTTATTATATATACTTGACATAATTTTTTGTGGATTGGGCAAAAGAAGTGAAAAAAAAACCCCAATTTTTTAAAGGGATTCCATTTGTTCGCTTTCTTTTCTCACTACTGATCGTTCAGGATACCTAGTCTGAGGTTTTTCGCTTCTTCATCTGAAACTATTTCATCCTGTGCGTGCTTCACGTTGTTGCAAATGGCGGAAATTCCGAAAATTCAAGTTTTTCCTGCTAGTTTAGATTTAGATTATAAATTATTTGTTTTCTTAGCACAACTTTCTTTAGGAGCTAAAAGAAATTCTAAAATAAAAAGGAATTTTCGGATCACAATACCAGATCCAATTTTCGTTTCAAAAAGTAGAGGATTTTTTTAATCACTTGCATTTTTCAGGTTCTAATGGGTTTACTGCAGTTCTCCTTCATAGCCACATATTTTTCGGATCAGCTAGTAGCTGGCTTCACGACCGCTGCATCAATACATGTCTTGGTGGCACAGCTGAGAAGTGTTCTCGCAATACCAAATTTACCCAGGCGATCCGGATTCGCTCAGCTATTTCTGGTTCGTTTTCGGACCCGAAGAATATCCTAAAAAAAAATA